TCATCAATCAAACGCAGAGCGTCTGTGTGACGTGAACCTGTGGAAGCAATGAGCAAAAAGAGATCATCATGTAGATGAATGTCCAGAGGGACGTTATTAACACATCATCAATCAAACGAAGCAATGAGCAAAAAGAGATCATCATGACTCAATTTGTGTGTGCGCAAATGAGGCGAATCATGTGTGCGCATTTGAGTTTGGGGTAACATGGGCTGTTTAAAGAGGAATGTAATCGATGTGTGCGCAGATGAGGCGAATCATGTGTGCGCACTTGAGTTAAATATATAAAAAGGTCTGTGTGCGGATTTGAGGGGAATTATGTGTGCGCAAATGAGGCGCCATCCCGGAAAGAGAGACATTATATAATATAGTCTTGATATATGATATGATATTAATGTCTTGAAATAACAATGGAAGTGGAAAACTATGGAGAATTGGGGTTGGATGAGGGACTAGTTGCTACCGACCATTGGATCAGTCCGGGTGATCCAAACTCCAAATCCACTCAGTACCTTCCTGGACATCGATCAGTACCTTCCTGGACGATCCTCGATGCAAGAGGAAGTCTCCGCTACCAAGAGGAAGTTGACACCATTGGTGTCCGCCCTTTTCCGCTGGCCATGTAGCATTTCTATTCATTTGCCTCCCAGGTCTGTCACTGCTGGTGTCCGCCCTTTTGCGCTGGCATTGTAGCATTTCTAGGTCTGTCGCTGCTGGGGTCAGCTCTTTTCTGTTGGCCATGTAGCATGTCTATTCATTTGTCTCCCAGGTCTGTCGCTGCTGGTGTCCGCCCTTTTCCGCTGGTGATGCAACATTTCTTTTCATTCCTCCAGTACTTTGCCGTTACGTGGGGTTTTTAAAGATGTGTCCGCCCTTCCTGTCACTGCTGGTGTCCGCCCATTTCTGCTGGCCATGCAGCATTTCAATTCGCTTGTGTTTAACATGATTTCTTTACTTTTGTTGGTGTCCGCCCTTTCCGCTGGCCATGCATCATTTCTATTAATTTGTTTCCCATGTGGTTTGTTTACTTTTGTTTTCCAGGTTGGGTGCCTGCACTGCTGGCATCCGCCCTTTTCCCCTTTGTCTCCCTTCATTCTTTCTTTGTCTCCTGTCTTGTCTCCCTTCTTGTTGGGCACTGTGTCCGTCTTGTCTCCCTTCTGTTTCCTTTTGTCTCCCTTCTTGTCTCCCTTGTTGTCCCCCTTCTTGTTGGTCATTGTGTCCGCCTTGTCTTCCTTCTTTCGTTTACGACATTTGCCTCCTCTCTCCCTCTCTCGCTTGCAACCCTTCACATTTTTCTCCCAGCTCTGCCCTGCAGTCCTTTACATTTGTCTCCCAGCTCTGGGCTGCGGGTCGCTTGCAATCCTTTACATTGTCATTTGTCTCCCTGTGTCTACATTTGTCTCCCAGCTCTGGACTGCTGTGTCCGCCTCTGCCTTGCAATCCTTTACATTTGTCTCCCATGCAATCCTTTACATTTGTCTCGCAGCGCTGGGCTGCTGTGTCCGCCTATACCTTGCAATCCTTAATTTTACATATGTCTCCCAGCTCTGACTGCTGTGTCCGCCTCTGCCTTGCAATCCTTTACATGTGTCCTCGCAAGCCTTTGCATTTGTCTCCCAGCTCTAGACTGCTGTATATCCGCCTCTGCCTTGCAATCCTCTATTTGTCACCCAGCTCTGGGCTGCATGTCGCTTGCAATCCTTTACATTTGTCTCCTGTGTCTACATTTGTCTCCCAGCTCTGGACTGCTGTGGCCGCCTCTGCCTTGCAATCCTTTGTCTCCCAGCTCTGGACGTCGCAAGCTCTAGTTGCAGAGTGTTCCGATATTGAAAAACACAAACTGTTTGGGGTCTGCGGTGGTGTCATTTGAAGGTTTTTGGCCTCCCTCGTTCCAAGAGTCTGCAAATATTGCCTTGTCTGCTACCAGGTTCAGGTGACCCAAATGATCATGCATATGGGAGTGCAGTTTACGTAGTAAACTCTAGGCCTATTGCTAATGAAAAGAACCTGAAAAGCTGCACTCCCAGGAGCTGCTGTTCTGTTTTTTAACCACCAAATAGATAGAAAAGTAGATCTCCACTAAACATGTATTGGAACCCACCACCCTAGAATCAAGAGCCGAGCTATCAATGCTATCAATCTGTCAATCCTTACTATGTCTGGACCTGGTAAGTTTCCCCGTGTTGAGTCAAATTAAGCCGCTATCTATCTGGCGACCTCTATACTCTATACTAGTGTTCGATTCACTAACGATTCGTCGCCGAGGTGCAACTTCTGCCACTTACTGCATCCAAAGAGGTTTAGACCCCGACCCTGCAAGTTGCTTGGAGTCAGAAAGAGAGCTCTGCTTGGAACAGCCGCTGAGTGCCTTTGATGTTCGCCCTTTATGAGAAGAATTGATCGCAGTTCTGAGATCAACCGCCTTTTCCAGTTCCCAAGTCTCCTCTTCGACACACGTCCACGAGATAGACCTGGGACTTGTCGTGACCTCGTTCCCCGTGTTGCTCAAATGGGGACCGCAAATGCCTGTCGCATGGTGCGTTGGCCAAACTGCACAAACTACGTTGGTCAACGCAGTTACATACTACCAGTGGCGAACTAGTCGTGGATGAGACTGACTGATCACGTAGAAAGGGACGGCCATTTGCTGGTGTGGGTGCCCCGTACTGAGATTGTACAGACCATGAAGGAAGAAGAAAACAAACTAAAGGAGTGAGGGAGGATAGGGAGCAACCATCCCGCCCTCTTGTAGACCCTCCAACAAGCTTTCCCACGATTCTTTTGGGTTGAGTGTGCCATAGTCATCCATCATTGGGTTCCTTTTCTCACGATTGCAATCCAGGTCGAAGCGGTCCAAGTGCAAGCAGTTAGCAGCTGTTCTGGACCAGGTGCGAGGGCCCAACTGTTAGGAGGCCAATGGGCGGACCGGTTTGCTTGCAAGATGAGTGGTCGATTTATTCCCGGGGCCCGTGAACATGAAGGTGGTCAATTGGAGCCTTTATGGTGGGTTTGTCAGATTGGGGTGCTGAACACAGTTTGGACTTTGGACTCTTCGTCACTTGTTCTTGAAGTTCGTTTGTCTCCTCCTCACATGGCCTCAGTGGTTCCTCCACCCACTTCTGACCCCCACCCCATTGGGCCCAGGGTGGGTCCATCGGGGCCCAGTCGGGCACGCTTGACGCGAGGTTTTGGCTGACGATCCGGAACGTTTTCAAAGCGTTGCAGAACAACTCAGCGCACAAGGCCCTGGCGAGCCAGCTCGGCGTGGAAACTGGTGCGCGAAAACTGAGGTCGTTGGTGAAGGAGCAGACGCCACATGCCAGTGACCAGAGGGGCTCCCCGAAGATCGCCCCTCCCCCCCTCTGGGGTTTTCAGGCTTTGTAGAATCTTGGGATGTCCCGTCCTCGCGTCTCGAGAATTCCCTCCACAATTCCGTGGGTGGTGATGGCATGATGGAACGTCTCCGAAGACTGGGAGCTGGGAGTCCTTTAAGTGCTTGTTCTTTGAGAGCCACGGGTGCAGGAGGGTACCTCCACACCGTTGTGAAGAGCAAGCTGCACTCAATGGCCAAAAAGCTCAAGCATGAGGTGGGCGGATTTTTGGGGAAGGGTGGATGGCAAAGACTTCGACTGCGGTGGTCTTTTCTGCAAAGCGTTTGCAAACGGCATTTCTTTTCTCCCAAAAGCAGTTCACACATGTCTCTGACACGTGTGCTACCGCTCCACATGGTGATTGAGATATCACTGCGGCACAATGCCATACTTTCAAGTGTCACTGGTCTGGGGTTTCTTGCAATGTGGAGAAAACACTATCAGATTGGTTATTCGGCATACTTTGCAGTGTAGAAAACCACCACATATCCTCTGGTGTTGCTTTCACTGGTCAAGCCAAGCAGAATCACTCTGGTGATACCATCAGAAATGCATGAAGTGGGGGGCTTGTTGCTTCTACGTGCCGTGGAACGAAGCAGAAGCGGTGCTGTGCCAAGCTGTTTGCTTCAAACCAATCCTAGATCAGAGCCGCCGCATAGCAAAGGGACGTACGGAAGTTCTCCATCCTTCTGCCCACGTGGTGACCGGAGACAAAACCACCTGGCACCCTAGGGCCCCAGGAATGGTCAAGGTCGAGTCCCTCATCCATCTCCAAGTGTTTCCTGAATGCACATACGTATGCGGAGAGGAACTCTCCCAGACCGGACACTCTTGAAGAACACTCTTTTGTAGGACACTCTTATGGGACACTCTTGTGGGACACTCTTGTGGGACATTCCTGTAGGGTACTCGTAAGGGACACTCTTGGTACGACAATCTTGTAGAAGACGCTTCTGGGACACTTGCAGCAGACTCTTGTGGGACAGTCTTGCAGGACAGTCTTGTGGGAGACACTCATGTGGGGCGCTCTTCAAAATACACTCGTGACTCGTGTAGCTCGTTCTTGTGGGTTACTCAGACTCTTATAGGACATTCTTGTGTGAAACTCTCGTAGGATGCTCTTGCGGAAAACTCCTGTCACGCTGTCTTGTCTTGTGGGACACTCTTCTAGGACACTCTTGAAAGGCACTCTTGTGGGACTCTCTTGTAGGGCACTCTTGTCGAACACTCTTGGTAGGGGACTCTCTTTTGCGTAGCTCTTGTAGGACACTCTTTTGCACACTCACTCTTGTGGGAAAGCCTTCAAGGTGAGCGTTTCGTCACTGTGATGCGTCAACCAGCATTTCAATAGACTTGCTCCATCAAAAACTCTTTGTATTGACCCTGCGTTCCGGGTACTTGGCAGAATGAGCCTGCCAGCCGCTATCAAAGCACGTGACGGAATCAGCCAGCCAACCAACTAAAAAGTATCCGTCAAGTCTTCACAACTGGGCGTCCCCAAAACTCCAACAAGTGTTTCGTTCGAGACGTTCTCCACGAGTGAAGCTGGAAGTCCATGAGCGTGAACACATCACACAGACCTGCCAAGCAGTTTCCCAGTCCAACCCCCCTCGAAAAAGAACTGTCAATGACACGCCGATCCCAATGGCACAGCAACAACCACCTCCACAGGTCGCACCACGATTCCCGGCACCTTCCTGGCAGGCCGACTCTGCCTTCAAACATGCGCAAAGTACTGCGTTTGCCACGAAAAGTGATTATAACACACCTTGGCATGTCAGGCAAAATTTGCACTGCGCCACGCGCTTGGAATGATTTCGACATATTGTTGTTTCAGCGAGATCCCTTTGAAGTTACAATTTTACTTGAGATGTGTTACGAAGCACAGCTACGAGGACGTGCTTTGTCACGTTTCATCACGTTCCCACACTATATTCACAAGAACCAGACACGTCGTCCCTCCATCCAAGACCTATTCCAAAAGCTTGACCCAATGGATAGAACTTATCGACGAGAACGGAGAACGGAGTCACGCAAGTCACGCGACAACGACCACGACGCGAACATGAGTCCAGCTTCTTCGCGATGCATTCAGGAGAAGCTCAGAAGAAGCACCCAAAGCTTAGTCCCACCCCAAGGTGAGGGCCCGCCCCATACCCATGGCGCCACGTCCCCCGCGCTGCGCGGCGCCTCCGCCAGGCCGGCTCTGGTGAGCCGGCTCACAAAAGCGCCGAACCGCGCCCGGGCTCGCCGGGGCCTGCGCCTGGAACCCTCGGTGCCACCGCTGGCGGGCCTGCCACAGAGGCAGGAGGATCTTGAGTGAGCAGGGGACCTGAAGGTGCGAAGCGAAGCGATCGAGGGGATCTGAGCAGATTTCCGACGCCTTTGGATCCCTTAAGACCAGGATAATCTGATGGATCCAAGATCATAACTATGGGGTGTGCACCTCAGGATTTAGCAGAGAAAAAGCTGCTCTACTTTTTGTAGTTGTGACAAGTTTGGAGCATCCCAAAGGTGCATATTGTTGATTCATGATCACCTTGTGAATCTCAACATGTACAGTATTTTGTTGGATGTTTGATCTTGTACATGGTCGGATTCTTGGACGAGGTGCAAGTTGGCGGACTTGTATCGGTTTGATGCGGTTTGGAGAATCACGTCACTCAGAGACAGGCATAAGACAAAGAAAGGTGAGGCTTTGTGCATTCTTAAACATATAAAACATATATGCCATTATATGTAAATTTATGCATGAATGTATAGGATATATAGAACAATATTCGCACACATTTTGTGTTGGTTCCTTTCATTGTGATGCAATACCAAGAGAGTGCAGTTTCAAGCTCATGAATAACAGCGTAACAGTGTACAGTAACACCTGTACAATGACATCCAATGACCTTTGGTAAACACCGTGACAAATCGACCCCAACACAGCTGGCATGTCCTGATGGTTCCAGAAGGTTTTGGAGTTCGGGAGGTGGGGTTCCGTCAGCCAGGCGAAGCGTGTTTTGAAACCTGGCTTGGTGTCACTCTGAGATGGATCAAGTAGCTTGAGTCTGAGAGATGCATCCCACAATTCGAAGCGCGACCGAAAAGAAAGATCATTGCATTGGATGATCAGAAAGATGGTTTGGGATGTGCTCTCAACAGTCTCAACCCTTCTGCGGGATTGGTTTTCCTTGTCTCCCAAGAATCTGACCGAGTGATCTGCACGTCGGCCAGCCTGCTTCCCGACAGTCTCCCAAAAGAGAGACCTGACCGGGGAACATGGCCATTGACCGCCTTTCATTGTCACAAAACATCTCTTGAAGTCGAGCACATTTCGTCATGATTTTCCACTGAGCTGAGAGGCATGTCCTCCTGCGCAGAAGGTGCATTTTAAATTCCAAGCTTGTCATCATGAGGGTGGCCGAGGGGGGAAGGATGGAAAGAGACCAATTGACAGCACCTTCTTTGTTGCATGACACTGAGGTCCACAAAACATGCCAAGAGACACCTGGATTTCGCCTGCATTTTTCATCTCCTGGCCCCTGTTTCCTCTGGAGGCCCCCCAACGATCTACAGTACATAACCTGGCTTGGGCTAGTCCGCTGAGTTGGATATTGACATAGATCGGATTTTCCCCAACGGCCGCAGGGGCGAACGCTTGCGGCGTAGGACCGCCGACCCCCTGCGCGGCTCGTTGGTTGCGACGTGCCGGAACTTCGTGCGTCACCGCGAGTAAGAGAAGCCGACGGAGTCCGAGGCAACAAAAGCGTAGGTTCCAGTTCAATGTGGTCCGGACCCTGTATCAGTTCCCTTTAAAAAGATTGAAGAATTTGTACGCTAGGCCCGGTGGTGCACTCACTGCGAGCAAAGGAAGCAACATCCAGCTCATTTGATTGTATGCTGTCTGACTGGTAGGTTGATGTCCATTCCTGCTTTCAAGAAGGGACAGCACGTTGGGCCGCTGGGCTCGGTACGTTGGTCCAGATAGAACAGACATCGGAGCGGAGCGGAGCCTTGGTACGAGCCGGCTCGTTCGCAAGAGCCTTCACCGATAGCAAGTCTTGGCATAGAACTGGAACATGATCCCGGACAATGGTCTTGGAAGGAACATGGTGTTGAGATGATTCATTTTCCATGTCTGTGTGAATGACCAGTCATATTCATGCTGCTTCACCTTTATTCGCCCAAAGTTCCCTGATCCACTACTGTAAGCTTGACGGGCTCTCCTAAATACAGTATGGGGTTTCTGTCACTGGACTCCGTTGGCACTTGGCTGTTAGCGTGGCCTGCTGGACCATGGTTGACCCACAGGGTGACTTTATGGCGCAGCCAGTTTTTTGGCAGGGCCTGGACAGTCCATTCCAGGACATGGCCGCGTGCAAAGTGCAGGGTCCAGGTGCAAAGCGCCGAGGAAGAAGATGAATTGTTAAGATTACTTGTTCCCCTGGCTTGCTTCAAGAGCTTGACCTTTTGAGTAGACCAAGGGAGCTTCGGTTGGAACTCAGGCCGCTTGCGCCGCCTGGCAACCACCGACTGCTCTTGCCAGTGGCAAGAGGTCTTACATGGTTTTACTACAGTGAAAGTGGAGGGCCCCTTGGCTGGCGGCTGGGGTGTTTTCAAATCACCTTGGATGCAAGCAACACTTAGGGAAGGGCCACCCATTTGGACCGAATTGCCATGAATTGCCTCTGCAGATTGCCGTCAAAAGCCAATCTTTTTCGAGAGGCGGAGCGCCTCCGTCCCCACTCCTGTCATGGGGCCTCCCGCTCGGTGCACCGGCCAAGCCGGCGCACCGAGCCTCACCGAGGGGTCGTCCGAGTTCTGCCTTTGGGGTGGGACGCGGAAAAAGACGCGAGTTGGTTGCTGCTGTGGTCTAGAATAGAACCACTCCTATTCGCACAAGAAAGAATCCACCTCTTCAAGTCCTTAATTAGTCTCGATTATCTGGGGCCCCAGGCTTTGTGGGCAATAAGAGGCGAACACTTGACCCTTGTCGACTTCAGCCTCCATGTGCATTGTGCTGCCTGGGCGGTGACCTCACATCCTTGCAGCTGTTGAGCTTCAGCCTGGCCGAACATCAACACATCAACCACATCCACATCAACCTGGCTTTGAGGTGACTAACTCCGTCCACGCAAGAGTTCAGTGATCATATTTGGACAAACCGGGATCGAACTCCAAGATTCAGGTGCTTCCAAAGTCAAGTAACAAGTACGTTTTGAAGAAGGCATCCCTTCTTGATTGACTTGATTGAATACTTTTCTGGTTTCTTTGCTTTGGCCTTCTTTGTAAAAACATGCAGAGTGTATCTTGCCCCATGTCGTGGATGTGTGATCGCCCAACGAGGACCGTCGCAAAGGTGGGGAGAGATAGAGGGCCATAAGCCTGCGATGGCTGGAACACCTTGCAACATGAGACTCTGGTTGATCATAGTCATAGTTGATTCAGAGACTTGGAGGTTCCAGCTCAACGGCTTGGGTAGCTGTCCAATTCAGTTTAGTTTTGGGCTCGAGCTCCGAAGACTTATCGTGGACCACTTAGACCACTTGCCATCGGCAGGCCATGGTTTCCGTGCGTGCTGAGGGTCAGAGCACTTGGCATCGTTCCATACTTTGCCTTGCCCTGATTCTCCTCAATCGCCCGGTCAAGCAAGTTGGGCGTGCCCACACGCAGAGCGGAATGGCAGCGCCCGGCTTTTGTACCTCGATGTGTGACCGACTTCCACCGGCTACCGGGATGAGCGCTTCCTCGTTGGCAAGGCTCACATCACCTTTGCCATGGCACAAGTCGTGCCAGTCAAGACGTACGCGGATTTCACAAGCAGCCATGAACGCAGCATTTTTGTTCTCGACTCACTTGACAGAAATGTCTTCGACCATGGGCCCGGCCATGTGTTCCATGTTTTCAGAATCAAAATTGCTTCCTCGCAACATATTGCAAAAGTTGCTAGAGATGTCATGGCGCCTTGCAAAAATTTTTGAGCATAAAGATGTGGCCAAGATTCCCAACAATGTCAACAATGAGGCCAAGCTCTTGGCATGTGAAGCACGCTTGAAGGAGCTACTTTTAGCTTCCCAGGAAGTCGAGAAGCACCTTGAAAACTACCGAACTTCCGTTTTGAATTTTCAACGTGATATCGAGCGACGCAAGGACGGTTATGACAGTCAAGCAGCGACTTTCGCGGCAGTGATGCTGGCGGCGTTCTGTTGCGCGTGTCCACCATTGGTGGGTGGGTCATTGGTGCTGGAAGGCGCTGAAGTTGCTGTGGCAACTGTGGCAACAGGTGGAATGATGCTCAGCCAAGGTGCTGCGCAGTCCTGCACAGAGCTCCTAGAGTATTTGTCTGAGCGCCGAGGCTGTATAAGAGAGTGCCAGACGGTCATAAGCACACTAGCGAACGACATCGCCAAGAAGAACGAATCCATCTCCAATGCTCTCGAAGACATGGACTTTGCACAAGAGTCTGAGGAGGATGGCAACTTGAAGGATTTAGTCGAGATCCTTAACGATATCGCTGATGATCTTGATAAGCTTTGGTTAAAAGCTAAATGACTAGGAAACTGTAGCAGCGTTTGCGACACGCTGCGGGGCGTTTCCCAGATGGCGCTTTTCAGTGCCCTGCATCGCTTTCAGCCTTGTGGGCAGCAGGTGCGCAAGCTCACGTGCCAGCTGGGCAGCAAATTAGAACGGCAAGGGAGAAATCATTGCAGCGAAGGACCAAAGCTACACAATCGCAAGGCTACAAGAAAGTTGTGAAAGAGCAGCGAGGACACAGTTTCTCCTCTCCCCAGTCTTTCAATCACCCATAACAAAAAACGTTTTCATTCCGCCTAGCTGCGCGAAGGAATCCCTGCCAGTTGCCTTTGCCAAGGCAACTTCATTTCAGATCAACTTAGGCACATTGATGACAACTATGTTGCTGCACGTTTACTGCGTGCATGACTTGCATTCTGGAACTTCTTGTGTTGGATAGTTGATGACATTTTCGGATTCAGGACAAAATTTTAACTGAAACATCCAAGGACCTTATTCCGCGTTGGTCTCTGCGTTGCCAGGCTGGCTGTTCCAGGAGTTGGAAGCCTAGTCAGAAGCAACCGGGGGATGTGAGGCGATTATTGAATAAATTTGTTTTGCTATGCCACCGCTCAGGTTTCATCATGAATCATGGCTATCTAGGAGTGAAGAGAAAGTGGATGTCCATTTGAAGAGATGAGCGGATTGACAGTATATCATGGACAGATTTTGGCATATGGATCGCACGTTTTTTGTGCTCAAGTCGCATCATGTTGAGTCCTAATGGCCGGCCGTGGCTCCAAGGTCGACTTCACGTTTGCTCTTCTTGCAGTGGACATTTGAGGTATTCATTCTTCCGGAGGATTCTTTGGTGTAGTTGCAAGTGCTTTGCCCAAATTGGATTATGCAATTATATGATATATTTGACTGGTTTGGAGGGGAAAGAATGCTTGATTGCAACATTCCATTGGTTTTTGGATGTGGCATGTAGGCCTGTGAAAAGCGTAGCTCTGATGGTGTAGATGTGGTCGGATGGTGAGATTTGGGACCGAGCAGTTGTTGTGGGAGACGCGAGCAGTTGCGTGACCAGCTGGCTCTCCTTTTCAGTTTTCTGTTTTCGATAGTTCGTTTTCATAGGCTGTGTGCCTGAGCTGGTGAGCAGTGGGCAGAAATGACCGCGCGCTGCGGAAAAATACACCTCTTCAAGTCCTTAATTAGTCTCGATTATCTGGGGCCCCAGGCTTTGTGGGCACTAAGAGGCGAACACTCGACCCTTGTCGACTTCAGCCTCCATGCGCGTTGTGATGCCTGGGCAGTGACCTCACATCCTTGCAGCTGTTGAGCTTCAGCCTGGCCGAAAATCAACACATCAACTGGAGCCTGTTGATTCCAAGCGCCAATGGTTCCTCATGTAGCTATATCTAGCTTTATCGACACTCATTAACTTTGCATCTCCTTGGGCTGACCCGCGAAAACAGCCTCCTGGACCATGCCAGCAACAAGACTTTCACATAGAGCGGTCAAGCAGCAGATAACCTTCCACTAGAGCCGCGTCTTGGCTTTTGGCACGTCTACGGCCCCTTGGCCGTGCTGCCTTGTTTGCAGAGCTTCCAAAACGATGTGCCGCTGCAGAGCCTGATTTCGGCATGTCTTGGACGCAAGACCCGCGGGAGGAGCGACCGCCCCAAGCAGGTTTGGAAGGCTGAAAGTTAACCGGAAGAACCGGAACTTCAAAGGGAATGGGATTCCATGTGAGATTCTATGAGTATTGACACATTGCAGCCAGCCATGGAGATTGTCCCAAGACTCCTCAGTGCATCCGGTTCTTCTGGACTGGGGTTTTGTGTCCCTTGCTTTTGGCAAGTACCCTGGCAGGGGGCCAGCAGACGCTGTGCTTGACTGTGGTTGACTGTGAAGGGGTTCTGGACCGGCGCATGAAAGCCCAGCCGCTGTCCAGGATCGGGAGGCAAGCAGCGCAAGCCCCAGTCGGGGCTTTGGGCGATGGTTTTCCGACCTCGTGCCTTGGCAGAAACATCCACAGTTTGATCTTGAAGATGCTAGTGATCCCAAAAAGAAAACGTGTAGAAAGGAAGGTATGGAGGGGCAAGTTCTTCATGGTGAATGATTCATTTGACTCATGGTCTTCCAAGCTGAGTAACTGGGGTGTGCGCCATCCGGGAAACGCGCGTATAGCCAGTGGACACACGTGCCACTTTGAAGCGATAGAGAAAGTTCATGTTGTTTGGGATGACTCAAGGACATCTAGTCAAGGAAAAGAATAAATGAGCACGCTTCCCAGAAACTTCTCCAACATTATATACTGTAACTAAGCGGGGGGGTGGAGAGCCCAGTCACAACACCTTCCAGCGCCTTTCGCTGCGCCGAGCCCGTTGAGGCCAGCGCTGGCCGGGAGGTGAAGCGTGTGGCCAAGGAGACCCGAGATGCCATGGTCCTGCTGAGGCACAGCGCCAAGCATGGGGATCAACAGGCGCGGTGGAGTCGGTTTGGGGCAACACGAAGCCCAACAACAGGTTTTCATATGGAGTGGTTTCCCACTCGATCTTCCCTCAACAACCGAAGAACATGGGTGTCTCTCCGTTTGACCAAAACCCATTGATGTCTGGGACGTTCTCCAAGGACATCTGGAGGTTCTCCCAATCGATGGCACCACCGACGCATTGGTTTTGGCCGCCCGACGGATGGATTCTCGGGGTTCGTCGTCCCCTTCTCTTCGGTCACTACGTGTATTGTTCCGTTCGGTTCGCGTCCGAACGCTCCGTTCGTAGCTTTTGGCCAGGAGCCCCGTTCGGTTCGCGTCCGAACGCTCTGTTTGTAGTGATGCCAGGAGCCCCGGCCTCGTAGCGAACATTCTTCCTAGTAGCAAATAGAAGTGGTCCCCAAATACTGTAGATAGAAAGGTAATGAAAAGTAGATCCCCACCGAGAACATGTCTTGGACACCGTGTCACGGTCATCTATTTGGGGATCACCAAACAATGGCTTTTGGAAACTGCAGGGTGAAGAGGGTGTGTTCATTGCAGGAACTGCTGCGTTGACACGCTTTGATGATGGCAGGCCAGGCCGGCTGAAGGCCTAAGCCAGTCCTTGCGGGTGGAGGTGCTCTCTGCGTCGGACCTCTCTTACGCGACTGGGTGCGGCTAGACCGGCGCTTAGCTGGTAAAGACCGGTAGACCGCCTAAGTTGAAAGGTCTATAATGTAGACTCTTATATAATTGATGAATGCCCCAATTGAAGAATAGGTCTTCTTTCAGGAGGTCTTTTTGTTCAAGCGCACACACAGAGATAGAGAGGAAGAACCAGGGAAGGCTCTATGGCCCGGTGCAACCGGTGGGGCCATTTTTTGGGAAGAACATTTCAACAGGTTTTGGAGGTCTGGATGCTGTCGATTCTATTTGTTCTCCGTGGTTTGGGGCTTCTTTGCTGGCAGGGAGCCAGCTCCTTTTGGTGGATGATCTTGACTTTTGGGTCATCGAAGTACCTTTTGGGCGCCCAAGACGTCCAAGTCTTGGGGTTGACATCTCGCGCACTTGGTGCGCCTGGCGGCGTTTGGCTTCGACTTTCTCCCAACCTCTGTCCTGCGACCTCCCAGCGTCTCCAAGGTGAAGTCCCTTCCGGTGCCCTACTGCGTGGTGGTCACCGGCTATCCGGACCAGACTTGGGGGAAGAAGCTCGGCCGCGAGTGCAAGACGGCGCCCGCGCTGCGTCAGCGGCACCCGCGCTGGAACGCACTCTGCCACGTGGCCTTCCCCCCAGAGCAGGTGGGCTTCCGGAGTGAACTCACCAAGTTGAAAGAGAGTTTCTCAACTGGTAAGAAGATGTAAGAAGTGTTCAAGCAGTCCCTTTGTTGACCTCACAATATGGCCTTTCTTTTTTCCGATTCCCTTCACTTCCCCAGGTCTCCGCGTCCCGTGTGGACTTCCAGAAGCCGGACGCCGCAGCGCCCTCCGCCGACCCGCCCGAGCTCTGCGTGCGCGTGCTGGACGCCGGCGGCCTCCGCGGCGACCGGCTCTGCGGCGAGGCGCGGGTGCCGCTGCGCGGCCGCCGCGGCGCCGGGACCTTCCGGCTGCTGGGCGGCGGCTACGCCACGGTGTCGCTGCGCTGGAGCGACCGGCGTGGGGAGATCCAGCTGACGGAGGCCCGGGGGTGAAGGATGGAGGAGGGGAGGGAGAGGAATGATTGGAGGGATGAGGGGGAGTCCACTTTGGGGTGAATTTTGGTTAACATGATTTGGGCACCTCCTTCTCCACCTCCATCAATCCGACCCCCAGTGACCCCGACGCGCCAGATGTGTCAGATGCGTCAGGTGTCTCCTGAGGACGAGGCCTTCGAACGCGCCTGCGCCTTCTGGGCGCGGCACGATCTGGGCGACCTCGCGGGCGTGACGCACGCGCAGCTGGAGCTGGCGGCCATGCTGGCCACGGAGCCGAATGGGAGCCTTGGAGGAGCACGTCCAGCGAGCCTTTTTTTGGACAACCAGCCAATAGCAGGCATCCCTTCTCGCCCGAACTTGGAGGGACATCCAGCTTCTTTCTCCTCAACTTTGGATTTTTTTGAGATATTTTGATTTGGAGATATTTGGAGGGTGATTAGACCAAGTTGACCAGAGCTTTGGTGGAAAGGGCTTTGGAGCGAGGAATGGCTTCTAAGAGGTAGAGGCACTATTGGATGTGTGGGCTCAGGGAATGCGCCTGCGTGTTTATGGGCGGAACCCAGGGTCAACATTCAGAAGCTTTTGATCATTTTGGGCTATCCTTGGGGGCCAAATGATGAGGTTGGACACTTGCTGCCATGCAATGAACCTTTTCGATATTTTTCGATAAGTTTTTCTTTTCCAAATTAGTCGCCCGGAACTGCACCTGAGTGCCTAGCTGCTCAGGTCCAGAAGTGCCCAGCTGCAGATGAACGAAATCATTCTCCAAGCACCACTGCTCCTTGAAGCAATCCATTGTGGTGTTATCTTCTGAACTCCTTCTCCTCCCCTGATTGGAGCATGTGGATCTCCTGGGTTCGCGGGGTTTCGGGTTCGCGGGGTTTCGATTTGAGGACGAGTCGGAGCATTCAAGCAAGCCACCTCAACAGCCCCCCCAAGCATCAGGAGCAGTTCATATCGCGCCGCAGTCTGAGACCCTGTAGGTTCGTGTTGACACAGAAGTGGGGTTGAGACATCCACTATCTGAATCTCATGTTTCTCATCTAAAAATGACCTGTCTCAATACACGACCTGTCTCAACATACCCATCAATGTAGCATCTGCTGTTGTTTCTCCAAAGAACGACGAGGGCGAAGACGGAGATCGGTTTCACCCGCCTTTCAGGTCGGCGTTGCTGCTGAACCACCTGGATCCACGAGAGATCCAGGGCCTGGAAGTGCAAAGCCCAGGTCAGTCGGGGTGGTTGGTGGTTGGTTTTTTGGGGGGTCTCCAGACAGGTCACTGATGGGAGCTTAGAAAATGCCACCCAGCCGTGGCAGTCCATGCAGCGGCTGGTCAAACTCTTGCGAGTCAAGGTGTCTCTCTCTCTCTCTCTCTTGGGGTAGGGTCACTCCTGCGCGTGAACAGGATGACAGAAGGCGAACCTTCAAGTTCCGATTCAAGACCGACGGAGGCAGCCATTCGCTGATGACCGTCTTGTCGGAGCACCTGCATCTCTTCACACCCCTTGCTGGGAGCCGCCTTGTAGGCGGGGGCGCCCGAGCTGGCCAAGCCCTTTAGCCCCTTTAAGCATATTCGGAATATCCCTTGGTGGTTCGAAAAGGGCTAGAGAGATTTTAGGAGAAGAAAGGATAAGCTTGACATGGAACGCGACAAGTTTTGCAGAGAGGCTTGCCCTCTAGTACGTTTGAAGGTTATGATAGCCCACAAATTTTATAATCTCTTGTTCAGCATTCTCCTCCGAGCAGGGCGGTTATTAGATGTGCAATCAGATCATTCTTGCACGATGTGTTAGCCAGGCTTGTTTGTTGCAGTTTTAGCATTTACACACTATTCAGCGCCGCGCCATCCGCTCTGAACGACCCCCAGACATGACCCCCTGTGGCTTCGACCCCACGAGTTCCGGCCGTTCCGCCGTCCCGGACCGCAGGTGCCTTGGTGGAGAGGCTCCCGATGGTTCGCACCCCGGACCGAAAGCCGGAGGGGGGTGGGCGTGGGTTGGAGGGGGGGTGGACGTGAGTGTGCTGGGCGTGTTGCCGAGATCTGGAGCAGATCGCTTGTTTAGGCTTCTCTTCCCAGTAGGGGATTCTCCACTGGATCAAGGCTGAGGGGAACCGCTTTCGCCAACACCCAGTACATGCAGCTCGGGTTGGCTTTGTGCAGAGCTGAATTGGCTTTCCTTTTTTGGAGGAGGAGGATGCGAAGGGGGCCTGGCTCTCATGGAATTGTGGAGCTTGTATCAATGTTTTCAGCGACCTGATGGCCCGTTTCCTCCACTTTTTGGGGCACCATTCCCCGACTTCAAGATGAAGTTGCATAGTTGACGTTTTGTAGGATCCTGTAGGAGTTATTGGTTCCACTTTTAGTGGCGCTTCGTCATGCTCCAGCTGCGCTAAGCAGCCTTAGGTGGCTCGGTGACATTGGAAGATCCCTGCTACCTGGTGGTGCAGCGCTGCGCAGAAGCGTGGGAGGCATGGGTTTGGTGTTGGGAGTAGCAGAATCGATGGATACATGCCTCATCATGCATCAGACAGGTTTGAAGTGTGTCTAGCCGAGTTACCCTGGAGGGGATGGTGGAGGTGTGGTGGTCCACCCATTCTCGAGTGTTCCCCTTGCCGGCTTGGCGTCATGTGGGACCACTACTTACCCTCGATTCTTCGCCTTTGGGTCCGAAGTGCGGATCGTGAGACGGGGTGGTTGTCTTCTACGTCTCGTAGAAAGCCTCTCTCAATGTCTGCCCGGTGGTTGATCAGCTCTGAGCTGGTTTTGGATCTCACACAGTGATCTGCGCCTGTGGGAGTGGGAGAGTCCCATAGGTAGTGCAAACCAACCTCTCAGACAAACTCCAGACATGCCGACAGCCGACAACAACTTATGCTGGGCCCCCCAAGATGCGAACACAGACTTTCCTGACGCTTCTGTGAAACACGATCCACACGTGCCTCAACATGCTGGGCCCCACGTACTTCCAGGTTTCGCAGACGTCGCCGCGACATGATTTCCGAACGTTTCGGGTCGTGGCAGCGGTGGCTCTTCGGATCCAATTGCTTTAGCGACAGGACTTCCTCCTAAAGATCTTTCTGCAGCTTGGAGATAGGAGCAGTCGCGTGTCGTTGGAGCCCTGGGGAGATAATTACGCGTCTCGTTGCTGTTGGTCTCATCTCACGAACCTGCCCATAGTTTCTGGAGGCTCTCAACAGCCAAGCATGGGCCTTATGCCTTGAGTCGGAAAGATTGAGCCAGGAGCTACTACTAGTAGCTTCTTGTTACTATCAATTACTAGTAGCGATGGCCTCCAACCTGATAGCGATGGCCTCCACCTACTAGCTTCTTGCTACTAGTAGCAATGCCAAACAAACAACTTGGACTTTCGGCACCGCCTATCCCGAAAGTGGACCACCACCGTTTGAGACGTGTGGTCCGTTCAGTGGTGCTCTCCATATCGAAGACGTCGACCGTTCAGGCATGGGGTTGGGTCAGCTTTCGACCGGTGGTGGGTGAAGATCTCCGGACATGACCCACACCCATGTGGTCGCCATTGACTTAACCCCCTACACCAAGGTCAGGCTGAAGAAGTTTCATGATAAAAGCCAGCAAGCTAAGCTTACAAGTCCGTGAGTCTCAGTTTCTTCTTTGCGGCTTTCTGCAAAACTCCACGACTGCGTTTGTTCTCTAGTGGAAGCTCTGCGACAAAGGGTGCCCCACGATGAATCTGGCTTTTGATGTCGCAAATGCGCAAAGGTCGTGCAGATAGCAATAGAGTTCTTCATGAAAGTTTGGGGATTTGGGGTCAAGCAGCCGGACTCGTTGCTGTCTTACTGACTGTAAATTCTAGGACGGTTGAAGAACAGAAATGGCTACAAAATCCTTAAAGAGACTCCTCATGTCTTTGGAGGGACATGCTGGCCGGCAGGCAACTGGCATTCTTTTGTGGTTGTGCGCTAATCCTTGTTTTGGGGAAGGTAGTGTTTTTCATTGCCAGGCGAGAACTATTTAATTTTGCGAGCAAATCTTGCGCTCCAAAGACAAGTGCAAGGATGAGATGAGGCACGCTCCGACGTCCCGACTGCAGACAAAAGAACGCGCGAAAAGGTAAGCAACTGGTGCTAAATGCAGAATTTAGTACTCACGCCCACAGGCAGCTGCCGCATCTCATGACATGACGCTAAGAGGTGTATCCTGCAGAAGCCCCCACAGAGAAGAACTCGTAGCCAGTTGTCCAAAGCCTCGCAGCAAACAGCTGTAGATAAAGCAAGTCTGGCTTGCCACCGGAAGTGTCAACACTTGCCCAAGCACGCTTCCCTGTCGGACACTTCCCCTATGGCAGTAGGAGGGCGGGAGGAAGATCTAGAGCTCCTCAGCTGCAGTGTGTGAAGCTTCACCCATAAGAAAGCAAAGAGGATCAGGCACGAGCATGCGTGAAAAACATTCCTGGCTTCACGATAGTCTCTGAGACTCTGCAGATGCGGATGAAGATTGATCGGCCCTTATCTTCTTTCCGAAGAGCCTTCTCCAGCGACCATACCTGATATCGTCATTAGCGTTCACTTGCAACCTTCCGAACTCTGTCACCGTTCACCTAGTCGTTCACCTATATACATGTACTAGTAGTCCAACGTATAGATACATTGGATGAGTCTGGCTGATCTCATCTTCTCCCAGCGTCAACCAACCGGGGCGGGAACCTTTCGACAGCGACTCTCGCGCGGTGGTGGAAAAACTTCGCGCGGGAAGACACCAGGCACTTCCGGGGCAAAGAACTCTTGGAGCTGAAGCGTTTGGTGGACGCGGCGGGCGGCGGGCGAGACTTGCGGAACACTGTGTACACGGTGATCACCCACGAGGTGGGCAGGGGGGACGTAGGATTGAACGATGGTACGGTGAATATATTTGCCAGGGCTTTGTTGGCGCACATTGTTGCAAACTTTAGCATGGAGTTCTTCATTGAACCTTGGGTTTGGAGTGTCTTTATCAAACCCTCGGCATGGATCGTTCCTTGCCCAACCAGTCCGCCGGCCATACCTTATTTCTGCGGGGGTCTCCCATGGTCCATGAGGCCCGGCGGGCTGCCTTGCTGAAACACTTCGAAGAAGAGGCGGAAAGGCTGGAGGACTTCCCGCTGCACATCTTGGCCGACATCGACCAGACCGTATTCGTCGGGACCTTCGGCGCAGGTGCGGCGTGGAACCGCGGGTTCCGAACGGGGGGTGCGAACGGGGGGAACGGGGTGAATGGGTGGTGGTTTTCGAGCGTTTTGGATCGTTTTTTAAACACCATGTTAAACCAATATAACTTTTAGAACCCTACCCGATTTGGTTTGGAAACAGGAGCGAACTTGAATGGCACTTCCAAGTTTTGAAACCATTCCTTGGGCGATCAGTTCTCAGAGCAAACGCATGATAGCAAAACATTTAAAACGCCCACAAACACATGGAGAAACCGTTTGGTTGAGGAGACCCACGCCTACACCACTAGAGGTAAGTGTGGGTGTGGGTGTATGTGTTTTTACAATTTTTTTGTGGATTCCGAAATTCGCAAATCTCTGCCCAGGTGGGCCAAAGTTTCCCACCGGCCCTGTCCCTGGAGCGCTGGCGCTCTTCCGTGCGCTCGGGGGCCGGGTGACCTTCTTGTCGGCCCGGCCACCCATCTGGGAGGGACAGACCAGGCCGATGGGGCTTGGGGCCTGGAGGAGTGGAAGTGGCTTGGTGTTGCTTCAATCAAGGGCGCGTTCTTTTTTTCGTTCCGAGACTTGCACTTCCATCATCCTTGACCCAGCTTCCCCATGGTGGCAAAAGAGCTGTTTGATGCATCTCTTGAGATGCCCTGGGAGAAATGGTGGCATCTACTTTGTCCTCCTTAAACTCCGGACTCAGGGTGGTTTCTCTAACCCCTTGCCAATAGCTTCAGAGGATTTCAGAGGAGAGGCAGAGGGAGATTTCCGGTCTGTCTTCAGTTGAGTAATACTGACTGTATATCCAAGAACAAATGGCCGGTGGTATGTGCATCCCAAAACAAGCAGACAAATCGAGCAGTAGGCTGTTTTCCACAGGTGATTTTTTGTTTGCTGCCTTTTTTTTTGGTTTGGCTTTCACCGCTTTCACCGGCCTGAAATGTTCCTCCGTTCGGAGGCGCCTCCTAGATGAGATCGGCATCGCCGAAGCGGTGGTGCTGCTCCTTAGCTTCCCACACGCGTCCCGCGGGCGGGGGAGTGTCGGACTGGTCGGCTTCCTTTCTCTACTTTAAATGGTTTCTAACGATGGCCGCCAACCTACTAGCGAACACCTAGCGATGGCCTCCACCTAGTGGCCTCCACCGGCCTAGCGAGGAATCTGTTTGGGGGTCGGCCCCCGGGGCCCGAGGCCCGGCTCATTGAAGGCCATTGCACAGGTGCTCTACGCTCCGGAACAGGCGAAGGCGTGGGGACCACCAGGGCGCTGGACCCAGCAAAGCCGGCCTGGAGGGACAGGTACTTTGGTTCGAAGCTTTCCGAAGCCCAACTGGGCAGTTGGACATGTTGGAAGGATTATTTAGGTCCGTCCTTGTCGCAGGTGGCCATGGCCGAGAGGAAGACGGAGGTCTTCGGGCAGTTCGCCACCTTACACCCCGAGGCCGCGCTCCGCGGGCCGGCCGCGAACCGCCGCGTTGAGCCGCGATCGGTCGGCTCGCGTGGAGGACTCCGTTCTGAACAGTGGTGGATGACCCGGATTGGGGGGGATTCATTTGGGGTGGAATCTGTCAATGACTCTTCAGAGGCTGTTCTGCGTTTCTCCGAAAAGCCTTCTCTTCGAAGTGCTTGTTTCAGGCAGAACATATTGACATAAACCAGGCTTGTCACCAGGAAACACCTGCTGATTGGATTCTTGGAAAGGATAGTATAGTTTTCATTCGGAAGCTGCAGAGGCCCAGTTCATCTTCATTGGAGACAGTGGTGGCTTGTCGCCTGAGGACTTGTGTCCCACTATCGGGGGAGTCTCGCTGGGCAACCGATTGTATGGAAGATATGTTTTGTACCAAAGATTGACACCATTGAAAGAGATGTTTGGATATTTGGAGGCTTGTTGTTGAGACATCCAAGTGGAGGAATACGTTTGGTTTGGCTATCGTTGGGTCACACATTGAATCTTGTACAACAGCAAGTTGTATTGATTTCAAAGAACGAGTGAGCGCTGAAAGCAACTGCACCATGTCCAAAAGCTCTCAGGGCTGATGGAGTCAGCCCACATCAAGCAAGAATGTGCACATGTTCTGTGACCCACCTTGGAAGAGTAGGCCCAGAGGGACTGCTCTCTGCTCTGATGCGAAGCGATCGAACCAGTTTGGTATTTCAACCCCAAAACCCCCGTGGCCGAACTCAACCCTCGCCAATAAGCCTGTGCCTCCAGTGATTTACTGTACTCCCTCAATCTTTCTTGGGGTCCCCCCCCGGCCTTTGCTTCCGCCTGCGTGGTGCGAAACCGCGCCGCTTTGCCCCGGCGGTTTCCCCAGGTGAGGGCGACATCGACTTCGCTGAGGAGTTCATGGCCGCGTCGCGGACGCGGAACCTGCGGCGCCCGCCCCGGGCAGCGCTGATCCACGATGTGGCCAGGCTGGTGTGGGCATCCTGGAAGGCCTTTTGGAGGTGGTCAGGTTTTGGAGGGCCAGATCCACATGGGGTGCATTTTACTTTGAGAATAAACAGTGCTATACGTTGAACACATTCCCAAGTTATACTATATTATATATTGTACTAATATCCTGTAGACAGTTAAACATATTATACTGTATAGTTGTATTACTATACTACTCTATAGAGTTAAACATAGTTAAACAATGTCACATGAAACTAGCGCGTTTGAGCAGCAGCGCAGGGCCGATGGCATTGTGCCAAAGAGCAATGCTGCACGGAGAAACGAATTGCGCATGAGGGGCATCCATGTCTTTGACACCTATGCTGGTGCCGCAGCTGATATTGATTAAGTTTTGTTTTGTTTCCAGTCAGGTGTTGCTGGAAGACCTGTGGGGTGGGTTTTGAAAGCCCAGCTCGGCTCGAATGTCACGTGTCTCGTTTGGCACATGGGAGACGACCAATTCGTTCCCAGATGAAGGCTGTGCTTTTCGGGCAGACTCGGCTTCTTGTGGTTTCTTTTCTTGAAAACGGTCAGGGTTGGCTTCGCCTAGGACCCTAGGAAGTCCAACAGGATAGCTGGGCCACCAAACAAACGTATTCGATGTTATTCCACCTGCCCAGGAGAAGTGGATAACCTGCAAAACCCCAACTTAGGGAGTCCGTTTATTTGAGTTTGGGGAAGCAATTCTGATTCTAGATAGCCCGAACCAGGTGAATCTTGGCTTAAAGTGTCAGGGATCATCCAAGTAGTAGTAGTAGTAGTAGTAGTAGT